CTTGGCATATAGCCAAGCCTCAGGCATACAGAAACTCTGCTTTCAAGAAGCTTAAATTCTCTTGAGGGAAGAAAGACAAAAACAAGTAAATTAATGAGGAATTGTTAGAAAGTGATAAGTGCTCTGATCAGAGGAATTAAACAAAGTGCCATAAGAGGAAATGAAAAGGGCTATTTTAGGTAGCTCGTTGGAGGTTACATCTGATCTGAGACTTGAATCAAGTTGTAGAAGGTTTTTGGGGAAGATGCTCCATGCAGAAGGAACACATAAGTGAAGATTCTAAGGCAAAAATGAGCTTGGTGTTTGAAGAACAAAAAGAAGGCTGGCACTTGGCCAGGTCTTGTAGTGTTTTGTGGACAAAGGTAACAAGGAGTTCGGATTTTATTCTAAATATAATTGGAAACTTCAAGGAGATTAGTTAAGAGGGAAAAGCTATGGTAACTTGAACCAGGGAAACCACTATTTACAACATATTGGAGACAAAGTTGACAGGACATGCTAATGGATTAGATGTTGGGGGGAAGAGAAAAAGAAGAATGATTTCTAGGTTTTTGGTTTGAACAACTGTGTGAGTGGCAGTCCCATTTGATGAGATAGGAAAGGAGTAAGAACAACAACTCTGGAGTTCTGTTAATTGATAGTTCTGTTTGTGACATGTTAAGTTTGAGGTGTCTATTAGAAGACAAAATGAAATACAAATGGGAGATAAAAGCTCTGGAGAGACACAGAGTTGGATATTAGCATGTCCTTGTTTAACTGCCATTTAAAAGATGGATAATGGGTAAATGAAGGAGCACATGTCCAAAGCATCCTGCCTTTCTAACACTATAAATGCACCTGTGCTCCAGACACACTGCCTCCTCGGTGTTCTGCAAATTGTCCTTTCTGAGGCCTTTGCCCTCGCTTATCCCTCTGCATGAGATTCATCATGACACATTCCCATACCACCTTCTGGTTTTGCCACTTCACTCTCTCCTGGAGGCTTTCCCTGACTACTTTATTTAAAACTGTAAACCCTACCCCCAGCACTCCTAACCCCCTTTCCTGCTTTATTTTTCTCCCTTGCAGACTATTGCTGACATGGTATTCATTCTAATCATGTACCCTCACCAGAACTCCATTGGTGTGTTTTGTCCACAAGCCTATAGCAGTGCCAGTCACATTACAAATACTAATGAATAATTGTGAATGAACTATTTAATTAAATGAAAAATACTCTGTTCAATTGGATATTAAGTATTCAGAATTAACACTGAAAATTTTTAAATAGTATAATTGTTTTTTAAGCATTGAGCTCAAATTTAGGGTATCTTAAGACATTCAACTATAATTCTAAACTAAAACTTCTTAGATTCATTCATATGATGAAGACTAATGTATCATTACTTTTACTGATTTTGATTAAAGTTAAATGATTAAACTAAAAATTTTTCTGAATCTAAAATACATGGATGCTGATTCCAGTAGGAGACATCCTGGATCCTTACAAATTGTTAAGTCTTAGTCTTCCTATTTATATTTTCTAATTCAGAAATTCTGACCAGTAAACAACAACATGCATTATTTACAGTATTTACTATCTATTCAGCATTTAAATAGACAACTGTATTTGCACAGCTTCTTAATATCCTTTTGTATTTTTATAGTGCCAATTCTGTTTCCATGTATTCGAAGTCATCGTAACCAGTTTAAACAGTTCTCCCTCTAACCTGTGGGACCTTTGTCTCCCTTACCCTCCTCTGCCCCTATTATCCCATCAAAAAAGGATAATGCTATTAGAAGTTTTTGGTAAAACAAATATTTTATGGGCACTCATTGCAATAAAGCACCCAAAGTTGTGAGATGTTCTTAGAGTGCTCTTCTGATATTTGCAATACTTTTACAAACAAATAATCCAGTTCATTGGTATTTCCATTTCATTCCATGTCTATGGTGATTGCAATGCAATAGTTACCACAGCAAAAGTGATTAGTTCCTGAGTTTCTAATTTGTAATAAAGACTTCTCTGAGGCATCTATCTTGGTGAGTCGTGGATGCCAGATGTGATTCTAATAAATATTTTGAATGCTTTTTGATTGGAAATTGTAATTTATATAAAAATTATAAAATGGCTGCTTCATAGTCTTGACTTTATACATACTCAGCATCTAAAGTGGACTAGGCTATTTTAGTTTCTTTTAAGGTATACAAATATGAGGAAAATCTAGGACTCTATATCCCTAAAGCCATTTTATACAGATTTGCATTCTAGGTAAGAGTGTTTTTTTTCCTAAATATACATCTGACATATTGTATTCTCAAGACAGTATTGTGCATTTAATTTTTTAATGATGCATGGTATTATGAATGTATACTTAGCCTTTTCAATATTAAATTTAACATACTTAAAAATGCTACAGGATAATGTTGCATTTTACATTATTACATTGCCATTTTGTAATTTAATAGATGGTATGTTTAATACTTTCTAATATAACCCACAAATTAATTGGAACATTTGTCACTCTAAGTCTACCCTAATTAATACAATTGATCTATGATTAATGGAGCACCCCATAAAACTGTCCTGTAAACTTAACTATGCGTATCTGTTTGTTGTTTTGATTGCAACAGTATATGAAAGTCATTATTGCAGACAACTTGGCTATTGTTAGACCTTAAAGAACATATACCTAGGAAGGACCAAAAGATGGTGAGATTCATTTCTGTATGGCACATTACACCTGAAAGGAATTCTCTGCCATGAATCAGAGTGGCATAGAAGCTCATTATGAAGAGCCTAGTGTCACCTGTAAGCAGAAAATATCTTGCCCTGTTTTCAAACACGTCTGACTTCCATTTCGACCCCATATTTTTCCCTCCGCAACTCTTCATTTTCGCTCTGTATAAATGCCCCATTCATTGATAAGCAAAGTCACAGTTGTGCTTTTCGGATGTAGGTATGTACACAGCTTTTCTGTGCTTAACCATAACCTGTTAAAGAGCTGAATGATGGGTTGATGGGTTGAATGGATGGTGGATGATGGATGGATAGTGAGTGAATGGATGAAAGTGCCCTTTACTTACTTATCACTTTCTCACAGCAGTCCATTCCCTTTGCCTCGCTCACAAAGCAATCCTATTTTCCTGTTCTGTTCCCCAGTAGCAAGACAGTTTCCTTTTAGTCATTGTTACACACAGACAAGTGGACATTCTCTGTATTTAACTTGCCCTTGCCTATCATCACATCACCCTCTGTAACTAATGTATGTTTAATTTAATCAAAAAAAAGCTTTCAAGTTTTTGTTAATCAGTGACATTGACAGAATTTACAAGTTTTGTATATTGCAAATGTCTGTTTCTTTCTTTTTCATAATGCTTAAGAATTATTTTTGGCAGAAACTATTTTATAGGAAATATTTTGCATTTGTCTCAAGTAATCTTTCCAAACCTTTCTGAGGTGAACAATATTATTTAGCCTCATTATAGTATGTGGTAGTAGGGTTCAGAGAGGTTCACAAACTTGACCAAGGGCACACAGCTAGGAAGTGACAGAGCTGAGACATGATCCTTGGCCCTGTCTCACAGTCTGTATCATTAAATACTATACAGTCCTTCTTCATCTGCATTAGTTTAGATTTTAAAATATGTTATATTGAGTAGTGGTCACCAACAGTGACCCACTAATATACACTGTTTGCTTTTAGAAGCATGTATTTTGATAGTGAATCTTCTCCACCTGCTCCCCGTGTTTTTCACGCATTATTTTTAGAATTTTTACACTCCTTGACCACTCTCCTAACTCACCCATGTCAAAAATATGATTATGTCTATCTGTAATTCTAGAATATATAATGTTTGTAGATGCCAGAAAAAAACAAACTTAAGCAGTAGTGATTTTGATATAAAATTCCTTAAAAATTGATTTTTCTTGGAATAAAACAAGCTTTCAGAATATAAATATTTTGTACGTTTTAAAAAATTTTTTAGTTGACGTGTAATAATTGTAGGTATTTGTGGCATACAATGTGATGTTTCACTACATATATACATTGTGTAATGATCAAATCAAGACTAATTAGCAAATCTGTCACCTCAAACATCATTTCTTTGCGGTCAGATCATTCAGAATAATCTCTTTTAGCTTTTATGAAATACACAATACATCACAGTTAACTACAGTCACCCTACTGTGGAATAGAACACCAGAAAGTATTCCTCCGATCTTGACTGTAGCTTTGTGCCCTTTAACCAAGTTCTCTCCATATCCTGTCTTCAGCCTCTGATAATTACAGTTCTCTCGACTTCTAGAGATCTACTTTTTTAGATTCCACATATGAGTGAAATCATATAGTATTTATTTTTTGTGTCTGGTTTATTTCACTTGACATAATGTCCTCCAGGTTCATCCGTGTTGTCATAAATGACAGGACTACATTCCTTTCCATGTCTGACTATCATTGTATATAGATCCCACATTTTTCTTTATCCATTCATACATTTGATAGACTCAGGCCGTTTCCTTATCTTGGCTGTTGTGAATAGTGCTATAATAAACATAGGGAGGTAGATATCTCTTGAAATACCAATTTCATTTCTTTTGGCTATATACCCAGTAGTAGGATTGCTGGATCATATGGTAGTTCTGTTTGTAATTTTTTTGAGGAAACTCCGTGCTGTTTTACATAATGGCTATACTAATTTACATTCCCACCAACAATATGTCAGGGTTCCCTATTCTCCACTTCTTCACCAACATTTGCTGTCATTTTTCATAGTAGCCTTTCCAACTAGAGTGAGAAGATATCTCTTTGTGATTTAGATTGCGTTTTCTGATGATTCATGATGTTGAGCATTTTTTCATGTATTTATTGGCCATTTCTGTGTTGTCTTTTGAGAAATGTCTATTCAGGTCTTTTGCCCATTTTTTAAACAGAATATTTTTGCTATTGAATTTTTTGGGTTCCTTATAAATTCTGATGTTACCATTTTGTCAGATATAGTTTGCAAATACCTTTTTCCATTTTTTTAGGTTGTCTTTTCACTCTGTTACTTGTTTGCTTCGCTGTACAGAAGCTTTTTAGTTTGATATAATCCTGTAGTCTCATTTGCCTACTTTTACTTTTGTTGCCTTTGTTTTTGAGGTCTTACCTAAAAAATCCTTGCCAAGACAAATGTCATGAGGTATTTTCCATGTGTATTTTTTAAGTAGTTTCATAGTTCTGAGTCTTACCTTTAAGCCTTTAATCCATTTTGAGTTGATTTTTTAATAGGGTGAGAAATGGGGGTTGACTTTCATTCTTCTGCATGTAGAAATCCAATTTTTCCAACACTTTTATTGAAGAGACTATCCTTTCCCCAGTGTGTGTTCTTGGTACCTTTGTCAAAAATCAGTTGACTGTAGATGCTTGGTTTTATATCTGTATTCATAGTCTGTTCTATTGGTCCATGTTTCTGTTTTTATGCTGTATTTATTACCATAGCTTTGAATATCATGCTGTATTGATTACCATAGTTTTGTAGTATATTTTAAAGTCAGGTATTATGGTGCCCCCAGCTTTTTTCTTTTTGCTTAAGATTGCTTTGGCTATTCAAGGTCTGTTGTGGTTCCACACAAACTTTAGGATTTTTTTCCCTACTATTATGAAGAGTATCATTGGTATTTTGATAGGAATTGCAGTGAATCTGTAGATTGCTTTGGGTAGTGTGGTCCCTTTAACCATACTCCTTTAGTTATATTCATTAATTCTTCCAATTCATGAACACAGTATCTTTTCATTATTTGTATCCAATTCAGTTTCTTTCATCAATTGTATAGTTTTGTTATAAAGATCTTTCACCTCCTTAGGTTTATTCTTGGTATCTTATTTTTTTTTAAGCTATTGTAAGTGGATTTTTTTTCTTGATTTCTTTTTCATATAGTTTATTAGAAATGCTACTGCTTTTTGCATATTGATTTGTGTCCTGCACCCTTACTGAATTCATTTATTAGTTCTAAAAGGTTTTTTTTTGGTGGAGTCTAGGGTTATATAAGACCATGTCATCTGCAAACAAGAACAGTTTGTGCCTCGTTTCCCATTTGAATGTCTGTTAATATCTGCCTTTCACTTAATTGCTGTGGCTGAGATTTCCGGTACTTTTGTAAATAGAAGTGGTAAAATTGGGCATCCTTGTCTTCTTCCACATCTTAGGGAAAAAGCTTTCTTTCAACTTTTTCCTTTTCAATATGATGTTAGCTGTAGGTTTGTCACATATGGTTTTTATTGTGCTGAGTGAGGTACATACCTGCTATGCCTAATTTGTTGAGAGATTTTATCACAAAGGGATATTGAATTCTGTCAAATGTTTTTTCTTCATCTATTGAATCACCATATGGTTTTTGTCCTTCATTCTGTTAATATTATCAGTCTCATTTATTGATTTGTGTATATTGAACCATTCTTGTACCTCTGGGATGAATCTTACTTGATTGTGGTGATGACTTCTTTAATGTATTGTTGAATTTGGTTTGCCATTGTTTTGTTGAGGAATTTTTGATCTGTGTTTATCAGTGTCTTCTAGATCTTCCAGTTTGCTGGCAGATAGTTGTTCCTGATAATCTTTTTGGATTCTTTGTATTTCAGTGGTATCAATTATAATGCCCGCTTTTTTTTTCTCTGACTTTAAGTATTCTCCTTTTTTCCTAGTCTAGCTAACAGATTGTAGATTTTGATTATCTTTTCAAAAAACCAGTTCTTCCCTTTATTGATCTTTTGTCTTTTCTGATGTACATGTTTATTGCTATAAACGTCCCTCTGACTACTGCTTCTGCTGTAACCCATGAATTTTGGTATGTTGTATTTCCATTTTCATTTGTCTCTAGAAATGTTTTCACTAATTCATTGACCATTGCTTCTTCAGGAGCATGTTGTTTAATTCCCATGTATTTATATAGTTTCCCAAGTTCCTCCTGTATTGATGTGTATTTTTATACAGTTGTGGTTGGAAACAATACCTGATACAATTTCAGTTTTTAAAAATTTATTAAGACTTGTTTTGCAGCCTACCATGTGGAACAGGGAATTCCTCCAAACTCATTCTATAAGAGCAGAATTACTCTGATATCGAAACCAACTGGTACACATCTTAGAGAATGTTCCATGTATACCCGCAAAGTATGTGTATTCTGCTGCTGTTGGATGGAAAGTTCTGTATATATCTGTTAGGTCTGTTTTGTTCTAAGTGAAGTTCAGTTCTGTTATTTCCTTATTAATATTGAAATGGGGTACTGAAGTCTCCTAATAGTATTATATTACTGTTTATTTCTCCCTTCACGTCCATTAATATTTGCTCTGTATATTTAGGTGCTCCTATGTTGGGTGCTTATGTAGTCATGTACCACATTGTGCCACTTCGGTCAGCCATGGACCACATATACAATGGTGGTCTCATGAAATTACACCATTTTTTAACTGTAAATTTTCCAGGTTTACATATCTTTAGACATGCAAATACTTATCGTTATGTTACAGTTGCCTACAGCAAGCTTGTCCAGCCTGCGGCCCGTGGGCCACATCTGGCCCAGAGCGGCTTTGAATTCAGCTCAACACAAATTTTAAACTTTCTTAAAACATTATGAGTTTTTTGGCCAGGTGCAGTGGCTCATGCCTGTAATCCTGGCACTTTGGGAGGTCGAGGCAGGTGGATCTTTTGAGGTCAGGAGTTTGAGACCAGTCTGGCCAACATGGTGAAACCCCATCTCTACTAAAAATACAAAATAGTCGGGCGTGGTGGTGCACACCTATAATCCCAGCTACTCAGGAGGCTGAGACAGGAGAATCTCTTGAACCCAGGAGACAGAGGTTGAAGTAAACCAAGATGGCGTCATTGAACTCCAGCCTGGGTGACAGAGTGAGACTGTCTCAAAAAAAAAAAAAACCATGAATTTTTTTTTACAATTTTTTTTTCTTTTTTAGCTCGTCAGCTAGCGTTAGTGTATTTTACGTGTAGCCCAAGACGATTCTTCTTCCAGTGTGGCCCAGGGAAGCCAAAAGATTGGACACCCATGAGTTAGATGACTTGCTAATTCCTTTGTGGTCCTGCTTTACCTACTGTTTTAGCCCTTGCCAAACACCGTAGTAATTATTTGTTTATGTCTTTTTTTTCCCACTTACCTGGGAGTTCCTTGAAGACAGAGACCATAACTTTTCATATTTCTATTTTCAGTGTTTAGAATAGTAGCTGGCTAAGTGTCCATCAGCATGTGGATGGATAAAGAAAATATGGTACTTATACACAATGGAGCATTATTCAGTCATAAAAAAAAGAATGAGATTCTATCATTTGCAAACAGCATGGGTGGCACTGAGTCATTATGTTAAGTGAAATAAGCCAGGCACAGAAAGACAAACATCCCATCTTCTCACTTATATGTGGGATCTAAAACTGAAAACAATTGAAATGGACATAGAGAGTAGAAGGATGTTTATCGGAGGCCGAGAAGGGTAATGAGGGGTGTGGGGGAGATGGGGATGGTAAATGGTTAATGCCTGTACCAAATATCTCAGGTAACCCATTAATATATATACTTACTATGTACCCACAAACATTAAAACTTAAATAAAATAAAAATAGAATAGTGGATGATACATAATAAGCCCTAGTAAATATTTATTGAATAATTTCTTTGGAAAAAAACTCTGCTTAAATTATTTTAAGTTTTTAACAGTTTTATTGTATAATTTGCATATCATAAAAGTCTCCCATTGTAAGTGTAGAGTTCAGTGAGTTTTAATAAACCATGAGACTGTTGTACAACCATAACAACAATCTCAGTTTTAGAATACTTCCATTAACCCAGAAAGCTCCCTCCTGCCCACATATAGTCAGTCTCCACTACTACCACAGTCCCAGATGACTACTTTTTTAAAAATTTGGTTAAAATATGTACAACATAAAATTTGCCTTTTTAACCATTTTTAAATGTATTAATTCTGTGGCATTAATCACATTCACAGTGTTGTGCAACATTAACTACTATCTATTTTCAGAACTTTTTCTATTCCCTTTAATGGAAACTCAATAACCATTAAGTAATAATTCCTCATTCTGATAACCTCTGATCTACTTTCTGTCTCAATGAATTTGCCTGTTCTAGATATTTTATATCAGTGGAATCCTACAATATTTGCCCTTTTGTGTCTGACTTATTTCACTTACCATAATGTTTTCACGGTTCATCCATGTTCTGCCTGGTATCAGAACTTCATTTCCATTTTGATTATCTATTTATCTCTGATGAATTCATGAGTTGTTTCTACCTTTTACCTAGTGTGAATAATGCTGCAGTCTGTGTGAATCTCTGCTTTGACTTATTTTTAGTAGTAGGGAAATTGCTGGGATATAAGGTCGTTGTACATTTACCTTTCTGAGAAACTGAAAACTATTTCTATAGCCATTTTACATTGCTACCAGCAGTGCACAAGGGTTCCAATTCTACCACATCATCGCTAACATGTGTTTTTTGTTTTTTTTTTTAAAGAAAATTACTAGAGCCTTCCTAGTAGATGTGAAGTGGTTTTTCATTGTGGCTTTCATTTGTATTTCTCTAATGACTGATGTTGATCTTCTGTTTATGTTCTGATTGGCCTTTGTCTTTTTTTTTTTTTTTTTTGGGTAATTGTTAATTCAAGTTTTTTACCTATTTTTTAACTGAGTGGTTTGTATTTTTATTGTTGAGTTGTTGGAGTTATTTATATATTCCAGATATTAAATCCTTTATGTGGCTATTTAAACATGTATATGTAAACAGATATGATAAGAAAATATTCTCCCCCATTCTGTGAGTTTTCTTTTCACTAAGTGTTTTATGATTTTAGCACTTAAATTAGATTATTAGAATCTGTTTTGAGGTAGTTTTTTTACATGGTGTGAGTACAAAAGGATGCATGGGTCCTTTTATGTGTGGAAATCCAGTTCTTCCAGCACCATCTATTGAGGAGACTATTCTTTCTCCATTGAGTGGACTGGGTACCCTTGTCAGGTGGCCATATATGTATTTGTCGATTTCTGGACTGCAAATCATATCCCATTGGCCTATATCTGTTCTTATGCCAGTATTACATTGTTTTAATTACTATAGTTTTTAGTAAGTTTCAAAGTTCAGAAGTATGAGTTCTCCAACTGTATTCTTCTACTTCAAGATTGTTTTCATTATTCAAGGCTCCTTGCAATTCCACATGAATTTGAGAATCTTCTTTTTCATTTCTGCTAAAAAGGCTATTGAAATTTTGAGTGTGATTTCATTGAAAGTGATGGCTTTGAGTAGTACTGGCAAATTAACAATATTTAATTAGTTCCAACCTATGAATACAGGCTGTCTTTCCATTTATTTAGGTCTTTAATTTGAATTTCCAGCAATGTTATATAGTTTACAAGCACTTCAACTCTTAGGTTAAATTTACTTTTAGGTGTTTTATTCTTGTAGATATTATTGTAAATGAAATTGCTTGCTGAATTTTAGGGGGGTGGTCGTTCATTGGTGGTTTATAGAAACACAGCTGATTTTTGTGTGTGTTGATCACAAGGTCAACCTGCAACCTTGCTGAATACATTTAATTCTGTT